TTCATTAATGTTTTTGAATCAAAAAGTGAATGTTATTGTTATAATAACAAAAAAAAATAACAATAACTTTCTCACCCCTATATATATATAATTATGCTTTACATTGTATTTATTTTAATTTAATTATATTTATTTTTATTACAAGTTGATTGATATCATTTCTTGTGTGACTTTCACAGGTTTCTTTTTTACACTGATCGTATTATTTAGCTGCACATTATAAATGATCAAAATGAATTCCAATCTCACAAGAATTGATCGATAGAGTTATTAAATTCAATGCTCAGTAGACGAGCTAAGTAATTCAGAAATTCAATGATATATTTCTTATTAATAGAGTATTCAAAAGCGAGCCAACAATAAACGTTATTAAAACATAAGTGATAATTACGTAGCAAGTCAACATTTCTGAAAAGAGCTCAAAAGTTGTAAGTAATATATCTATATTAACCTTGAAATGTCATAAGTGTGATGCGAAAAATTAAATCAAATAGATCTTGATCATTATAAGTCAAATGAAATATGAACTGAATGACTTATTTCATCATTATTTTTCTTGAAAGCTTAAGTTTGCTTAATTCAAAACCAATAATTACATATACTACTATTGTAAATATTTTATTATAATTTACACTGTTAGATTCAATAATGAATACAATAAATTCTTGTGGTTACAATAATTAATGAAATATTTATGCTTCATATCAACTTCTGACTGTTTTTCAAGGTTTTAAAGTAGAACGTGATTAGTTCATTCAATTCTAAGGATATTAACTGATTGAATTTCTGCAATCAAGTAGTACTTGAAACCGATCAAGTGACAGAGATGGTAATATCTTTGCTATTATGATTTATCCTACAAGGAACATACGATACTATAGCTATGGTTGACATCAATTAGTGTTGTGAAATTCTCGCATTCAAGTTTTAATAAACACTCAATGTAAAATGATCTGCTTTTAAAAATAGAATTTATGATCTTGCTTACACTGTAAAAAAAAAAATTAATTGCATGAGTTTTGTCATCTTAACAGAACTATACTATTTTCAGGAAATAATCATCGATGTGTAATATAATAACTACTACTTGCCGAAATTCCTTGGTCCGGAAGATGAAGAATTTGCAATAAAAGTGAAATTTTTTTCTTTAAATAAAGTTATAAATTGCTTCCCTCAATAGAAGACTCGGACTCCCCCAATTGCGGGAAGGAGGTGTTTATATGTGGAAAAGAAAATTTATAATTGTATTCGTCATCAATAAGTAATTTTACTACGTAATTTATTTAAAACAGCTGGCTTTTGTCTCTATTGTTTTTAAGGTAATCATTCAAATACACAAAAAACCACGATTTAATATGATAAAGAAATATTTCAATGTAATATTATGTTATTATTTAAAGCATCATGATGCAAAAAAAATTCATGAATTTTATATGAAAAACATGAAAAATTAAGCTCAAATGTTGATGATTATTAATAAATGAAAATAGATAAATTATCGATATCATAATCACTTGTGTATTGATGATTTGATTTTGTAAAAACAAAAAAATGTTTTCCGACAATTTTCTTCCGATTCAAATAATATTTTCAAAGGTGTTTTGTTTTTGCATGAGAATGAGTTTTGTATTTGTCGTTCGTCTCAATCACATTTACTGAAAACAAAAGATTGAACATTGGTCACATATATTTCTATGTAAAATATTTCTGGCAAAGATCTCCAAGTTAAATGTTATTTACCGTTATATTCGGTTCTCATTTTTTGATTCTCTTGAATGTATTATTCCTTTGATTGATGTCTTTTTATTTTTTTAATAAATGTATTCTAAGTGAAAATAATGTGGTTATTGTTCTTTTCAATGTCTTTCTATAAATTAACATGACAGGAGAAAAGAAAAATTATTCACATTAAATTTTCATTGATTATTCTCCTGTTGAACCTTAAAGTTTCATGAAGAAGTCTATGAAAGAACAAAAAATAAGAAATATGAAATTGTATATAATTCTAGTAGTTTTTATTTTTTACATTGTGAATGTGTAACAGATGTGACAGATTCATAATTGACTAAAGTCGATCTTTGAACGAGATCTAACGTTATCAATAATCTAAATAAATATTATGCTACTACTCTAAATAGAATTTTCTCATGATAATATGTATGACCTAGTGCATTAATCTATCAGAAAGTTTTTTCCTGACACATTGAATGTATTTTTCACAGACAGCTTTTATTTATTTTTATGTGCGTAGCTTAATGACTGAGTGCTCCAAGTTTCACAGAAAGAGAGGAAAAAGAGCAACACAATCAACTGGGTGTTATTTCTTGTATGAGAAGAAAAAAAAATTGCTGGTGTTCGTCATTCGTCTTTCTATATTTTTCTCTCTCTCTCTCTCTCTCTCTCTCTTTTCCTTATTTTACAGAAGCACCACGCTTATTGATATTTATGTGAATAGACGACTATTAAACAGACATTTATTATTACTAATAATTTCCTAATATATTCCTTCAATTTCTACACAAAAATTCTTTAGGTCTATCTACTCTCTCTCTCTCCCTCTTTCTCTCTCATAGGACACGAATATAAGTTCAAGTTCATTAATAATATTGAGATTAAAATAGAATAAATCAGTAAGAGAAAAAAGAGCAGTTAATCAACAAGCGCACTTTCCTTCTTTTTTGATATAGCCATTTGATTACTATTAGAATATTAAGAAAGAAAACAAAAAGGAAGGAACATAAATCTTTCGATCTCATAGATTTTTCAATGTTTCTTTCTCTCTTCCATTCATATGGAACCGAAAGCACGAGAAAAAAAACCCGAGGCAACATAACTATTGCTCATTATCATATATTGATCAATATTTGTCTTGTCGAACATAAAAATTAAAAATATTGATGAAGAAACGGATAAATACAATAAAAAGAGTAGTAAAATATTTACTATTACAATAACTTTCAAACAAGATAACAGATCATATTAATTTTTATAATGTCCGAAACAACTTGTGAAAAAATTAAACGACATTGTCAACCATTTACTTACGCCTTTAGTCTTAGTCATGTAAAATCTGTTCTCATTGGTATGGTTACTGAATATGAAAGTAAGTTTTTATATTTAATAAAAAAAAAAATCTACGTCGTTGGCTTTTTTTTTAAGCACCAAAAATTATTACTATTCATTCATATTCAATAGCATTAACATGTCGTTTTGTACAATTAGTTATTGTATTCTATGCATTTGCATATTTAATGTGGCATAAACGTGGTTATCAAGATCGTGATCCATCATTAATATCATCTGTAACAATGAAAGTTAAAGGTATTGGCACATTTAATAGCAGTCGAATAATAACATTAGATAATGCTGATTTTATAATACCACCACAAGAAAATAATGCACTTTTTATTATGACAAATTTTATTCGTACTGATCAACAACGAGCACGTTGTGCAGAAGGACTCGATATACACGATGCTCCATGTACGAATGATACACATTGTCAATTATTAAGTCCATATCCTCCGAAAAGTAATGGACGTTGGACAGGAAAGTGTTTACCACAAGGACGTTGTGAAATTGAAGGTTGGTGTCCAGTAGAAAATGATCTTACTATGCCTACACCAATAAAAGATTCAGTAAATTTTACAATATTTGTTAAAAATTTCGTTGAATTTACACGTTTTGGTGTTTCAAGAACAAATATATTTCACGATTCAAGAGCTATTAAAAAATGTCGTTATCATCCTATACATGATAGACTTTGTCCAATATTTCGTGTTGGTGATTTATTAAAGTTTGTTGAAGCTGATGATGATGAACGTTATAAAATGTTAATATCTGGTGGTGTTGTTCGTATTAAAATTGATTGGATGTGTAATTTAGATTTAGGTGAAGATAAATGTAAACCAGCATATTCATTTGGTCGTTTAGATTCAAGATCACGTGATGAACAATTTTCAATTGGTTTTAATTTTCGCTATGCATCACATTGGAAAGCTAAAAAACGTTCACATCGTACATTAACAAAAGCATTTGGTTTAAGATTAATTGTTACAGTTAATGGTGAAGCTGGTCGATTTGATTTTCTTGTATTAACACTTAATATTGGTTCAATGATTGGTGTACTTGGTTTAGCAACATTTATATGTGATATTGTTGCATTATATTTTTGTAAACAAGGTTCAATTTATCGAAAACAAAAATTTCAACGTGTTAAAATAACATCAACATCATTATCAACAATTCATAAACATATATCATTAAATGATGAACAAAATAAAATAAAACAAACACGAGATAAACAAATGAATAGTCATTTAGCTGATGGAGATGAATGTTAAAAAGTTAATTTTTTTTTTTGTATAATATTGATAGACATATTTATCTTTATATGTAATAAATGTGATTCTAAGTCATTCAGTTTTAAAAATTATCAATAGAGTCATTGCATTGCTCGGAAAAATTCGTAAGAAAAAAGAAATAAAATGTATTAGAATTGTTCTTTTTCTTCTTGCTTAAAATAAGGTTGTATCGAAAACCAATTATAAGGAATAGGCTCTATATGAGTATCCGGGTGTAATTTATCTTCAATGATTATACTTTTTATTGTCTACTCTGTTTTTGTCATTTTCGGATACTGTTTTTCTACAAAATGCTCCACAAAGCGTTTTCTGGGACATTTTGTAGGAAAAACAGTATCTGAAAATGACAAAAACAGAGCGGACAATAAAAAGTATAATTGTTGAAGATAAATTACACCCAGATACTCATCTAGAGCCGGAATATTATTCCAATCTGTCGAAGCGTATGCTAGATAGATAATGAGATTGAATTGTTCTTTTTTAACTTATATTTATTTATTCAAGCTTTCTAGAAGTCATACCAATCATCATCAGGAATGATAATACAAAGCAAAAAGAAAACTTATAATTATCTATTAGGATATTGCCATATGATTCCTATCATGTCATGCAAAAATATCTTCAATTAACGTGAATATTTCAGCGTTTGTAGAGCTCGATTGAGCGATTATTCTGGTACATTTGAATTGTAGAAAATAACTTGTCATCTATAATTGCCAGAGGCTGGCTCTTATCATGTAAAATCTTACAGATTATGTTAGAGTGTTTTTCTCATCTTGTTTTTCGAAGCGTTTCTAATCACACAATTCTTTTAGTAGACTATTCAATACGAGAAAGGTAGAAATTGATGAGTCTTCATCTATGACATCTGAAAATAATGAAAAGTGATTCATATTTCTATTGAATAAGAATTGAAATTTTGGAATTTCCCAGATGGCAGACATATTGGTAAAGAGAGAGCAAAATTTACTCTACAAAATGATGTACTTTGCTTTGCGGTACGATCAAATTGATGAAAATAGTAGTGGATAGAAAATCGGAAGGATT